ATTTCATATGCTTTCATGTACTGTTACAGGGTAGAATAAAACACTTTAGCATACCGTCTGTAGGCCCAACTTGGAAACTTGGAAAAAATGCAAATTAGTTTATCCCTTTTGTTTTGTGTCCTGGCACATCATTACCCTTCCCAAGGTTTTGATCTATTGTTCTAACAATCCACCAAGGGATAATGCTGATCCCCGTGCTCTCCCCTGCTAGTTATCTTAGTTTGCAGTGTTGGTCCACTAAAAGTTTTTTTTTGGTCTACTAAAAGATATTACTTCACCCACTTTGCATCAAAGATATCTAAATGGCTGTTTGACTACACACACATTCAGTTACCAGTGAATGTTACCTTTGTTATAGATTTCAGGGCCTATGGGATTGCTCCAGGCCACAGCCTCAATAAAGAGTCTTGTTATCAATAATACTCTATCTTATTGAGACACAAGCAGTCCCACAAACTCATTGGCTACTGGAACGTGTAGTGCACGGAGGTATAGTAAACAGAAAAAAAAGATAGGCAAACAGCCTTTCTGACTGCAAACTAGTCAGCCAAAATAAATGAACAGAATACAGTTTAGTGCAGGGGTCGGCAACCTTCGGCACACGGCCCATCAGGGTAATCCACTGTCAGGCTCCGAGACATTTTGTTTATGTTGACCATCTGCAAGCATGGTCCCTCGCCGTTCCAAGTGGCTGCAGTTCGCCGTTCCCAGCCAATGGGAGCTGTGGGAAGCGATTACCAGAATCCCTGCAGCCTGCACTTCCCATAGCTCCCATTGCCTGGGAATGGCGAACTGCGGCCACTGGGAGCTGTGAGGATCCGTGCCTGCAGACGGTGTACATAAACAAAATGTCTCGTGGCCCGCCAGCGGATTTCCCTGATGGGCTGCGTGCTGAACGTTGGTTTAGGTTCAGGCTTGGAGGTAAGATTTAATTAGCTTTAGGGATGGAGTTGTAATCTGAGAAGAAGCAGAAGATACCACTGTAATATATAGCAGGTGTTCTCAAGCTTTTTCTTTCTGAGGCACCTCCAACATGCCACAAAACCTCCACCTGTGCCACAACAACTTTTTTTCTGCATATCCAGTAGATTAAAAGCTCTATTAAATTAACATATATAATATGAAAAGAGAAGGATAATATAGGTACAAAAAATGAAGATTATTTTTGTTTTACTTCCTCAGTGTGAAACTTTTTGCTGGTGCTGACCCAGAGGCTTGGTGGCCTGCTGAGGTGAGTCATGGGGATGGGGCTGAAGCCAAAGCCCCACTACTGGGGCTGGTTTATTTTGGGGAATCCCCTGAAACCAGCTCGCAGATGCCTGAAGCTCTGCAGCCCCCAGTTGAGAACCGCTGATATATAGGAATTGGGCAGTATCCCTTTAAATAGTTGTGCACTGGCTAGTGGTACCTACTGTGTTCTGTTTCAGGAATAATCCAGAGTTGCAGTATGTAGTTAGGCCTTGTATGTTTGTGCATAGTTCATGGTTATGACACCCAACTGAACCCATGTGTTTGTTCATGTTATTACGGTATAAAGATACAACAGTCACTTTTATGTGGAATCAGATTTTGAGACAAAGACTAGAAAAAAACTAAGAGCTAAAGTAAATGTCACTAATCTATCTAGGTTCTACTCCAGTCTTCTCTGCTGTGCTTTCAAGTAGTTTTTGATGCCTTTACTGTTTTTTTTTAATATTTGAAAGCCTAAAAGCTATTGTATTTATTTTTGTTCTCTCCCCTCTGAGAACAAGAAGGTTGCAAGTAGAAACTTAATACCTGATATTGTAAGTTGTTCTCCTGCACAGAGTCCCACAGAAGTCAATACTGTTGTATTCAGGTGCAGGGATACACATGAACAGAACAACTTGCAGTATCAGGGCCCACGTAAGTAAGATCTGAAGGCTTTGTAAGGGATATATGGGTCAGATATGCCTTGAATGATTAATGATGCCTCTGGCCCACAAAAATAAGAAAAGCTATCCCACCTCTGTTTATTCCAAAATAGGATCCACCTATGAAGATGATAAGAAAATGGTTGACTTCATATGAGACACTTTGTCTAAGGACCCACTGATCACCCAAGGTCGGGAGTTCCTCTCCCTAAGAAGAGAAACTAAAATACTAAAATATTTGCTAGAGTATTGTTAATCATCTAGGCAAGAATCTCTCATAATTTGCATATGTATAAAACCACCTTTCTTCCTCCAAATCTAGCTTAAAAAGTACTCTAAGTTACCCAGCATGGGTCACACCCTGCTTTCTTATGCAAAGTGTTTTTACCCCAAAGTATAAACCATATTTTGTTTTCCTTCTAAATTACATGTTCCATGAATAATCTTTCACCCCAAATTTGGATCTGCAAATTTGTTTACCTTGTGAGTCAGATCTTCTTCCTTCTATATGTCAAAATGTCTCTTGTTCTATTGTAAGTCCTAAATAAGGTGAAATGCTTATGAACAATGAAAGAATGTATAGAGTATGTCCCCTACATTTAGAAGATAAGGATTGTGTTGGTTTTCAGTGTAAATACTTGTTGCATTCTAGAAGTAGTAGGAATTGTCTGGCACAATGAAGAAGAAATGTTAAGATATAAACGAGGATATAATTTTGGGATACTAAAATAAATTGCTTAAAATGGGGAATCCCAATGGATAGTGTGGGCTAATAATGAAATACAGTTCTTGAAATGAATCAAACTTAAAAAGTATCCTATAAAAAAGGGTTAAAAATGTGTTTTATATCATTGCCATATAGTGAATACCAATGGAAGCATCAGAAAAATTCAGATGAAATCTGAGCATCCAGTTGGCACATGCCGTATGAGAATAAGATGGTGGCATCATCCTACAAGCCCTGAAACTAGTGTATATAAACCGAAGTCCCCATGTGCTCAAGAGAGTTGACTGAACCCAATAAGAAGCTGAAAAAGTGCAAGCAATGCCTGGACCAGTTATGCAGAAAAGACTCTCCCCAACTCCAGGGTTAAGAGGAAAAAAAATAAAGGGTGAAATTTTATTTAAAAGATTGTATTTCCTCATATTCTTTAATATAAATACCTGTATGTTCTCTCTCTGAGTCTACACTCTCTAGTGAGACCTCCAGTAACCATATTTAAGATTTTAATGCCTTTATAAAGAAAATTGTCCTAAGAGAGATTGAAAAGAATTGTTTTAGGCAATTGCTCTTAATATTCTCAACTTGTCCCTCTGGGGTCAATCTAGTCAAAGAGAAGTAACCACACTCTTTAAAATGCCTTAAAGACAAGTGCAGCCTCAGAAGCATGAAAAATGTGCTAGGTACTAAAGAATTGAAAATTGCTGATCATAAGTAAAAGTAATAAGATATCTTAGTACTTTGCATTGTTCCTTGATATAACTTTTGAGCCTCAGCTGTAGTCTGTGATAATTGCTTTCAAGACTGTATTGTGAGTGCATAGTACACATAATTGGTTGTGTCCACATTTGAGTGGTGAACTGTTGATTATATATTAATGTAGTTCTGGTGGAATTAATACATAGTTGGTTGGTTAAGAATAAGCAAGTGTTATGATTCAAGAGATACTGTTCAAGTTAAAAATTGACCTGAAAAGAACCAAGTGTTAAACTAGTAAGCTAATGTTCCCTGGACTCAATAAAAGGGGGTTATCATATTGGATCCTATTATATATTGCAAACCTTTTTAGATTTAAAATCTGACACTCTGGCAAATTCATAAATTTGACCTCCTTTCATGTTTACTCTTAGCAAATTTTAGGGTATTTGGGGGTGAATGAAGATACACTTGTGATAACTAGACTTGCAATTTTGCCCTAATTGTGAATGCAACTCACTCACAAAGAAGTGAGTGAAAAGTCAGAATAACCTAAAACAACAAATTTTGGTGGGAAGGGCGCAAAACCAATACAGATTGAATTAGTCCAAACAAAAAGGCCTGCTGGTATAATTCTAGGACTGTATTAAGATCATGACTGCTAAACAAGAACAGTGTGACACCAACAATCAATGAATCAAAATAGGCGTGTCAGAAATTAGTCCTAACTGATGGACAAAATAATGAGAGGATGGGCTGTTCCACCCTATCACGGTTCTCAAAAACAGACTTTGGGGGGAAAGCTGGTTATTGGCACGAGTGATTGTGGCTGACTAAAGAAGCAAACTCCATCATGTTTCCCACCTCCACCATCTCCTGGCACTCTGGAATCCAGTATGACAACAATTGACCTTCTTTATCATACTCCCAAAAGAGGTCCTGACCAGACTGGGCCAAAGAGAGAGGGAGCCAGATGACATTTCTGCCTCTACTGGTTCCAGTTGAATCCAAAATACCACCTGGGATGTAAAACTTTGTCATCCCACTTCACCCAAAGCCCCCTAAATAGTGTCCTTTTTCTTCCCTGTCTTAATTCTTCTCTTTCCTAGCTCTCTCCTTTTTCTTTCTGCCTTATAAGAGTCTGGCTTAGCTGATCAAGATTGTATATTTTGCATCATTGCTGTGAACCTGTGACCAGAAAGAGGCACCTAAATGCAATGCCCTAAGCCGCCCCATGCTTCTACTGGGTTGTTAGGTGTCTGAGAATATATCTACACAACATTTTAGAGTGAGCCTCCCAGCCTAAGTCAACAGATTTGGGCTGGTGAGTTTCATGCTAGTGCTCTAAAAATAGCTGTAGAGACAGAACTTTAAAGTTTTGTCTTGGGTTGGCAGAGGGCTGTCACTACAGCTATTTTTAGAGCACTAGCATAAGCCTTTCTAGGCCAAGTCTGTCAACGTTGGCTGGGAGGCTTGCTCCAAATCACTGTGTTGACGTACCCTGAGTAGCTTGCAAAACCATGTTCTGTGACTGTTGCCAGTTAATGTCAACCTCAGAGCCAAAAGCTGCATGTTCTATCGTTGTTCTTTTCTCTCCCCTGTTTATGTGTTTGTCTTGTTTTGTCTTCTAGGAAACAAGGCTGGACTTTAACAACAGCAGCAACAACAAAAACTCCAGTCCATTGTAAGTAACCTCACATTTCTCTAAAAAGGATAGTTATAACCATCTAAGGGGCTGTGAAAGAAGGTTTTGTTTTCCTTCTAAAAACTGTCTCCAGCTAAAGGGAAAGGGAACAAATGAAAGCCTTATTTAATACGTTACATTTGAAATGCTTTCACTGTTTTTTCGCCCTTCTCTTCTGTATCTTCAATAAAAAGTTAAAAGGATTTGTAATGGTATGTTTGCCATGGTACTAAGCAGTCTGAGGTCTCTGTATACAAAACCTTCTTTAAAATTGTTTAATGTTGGAGAGTGCCTGGGTTATGTTAATACCTTTGGCTCTATGGGCGCATATATTTCATCAAAATTAATATATCAAGTCTAGGATATCTACTTTAAACACTAGGGTAGGGGGATATTACACATTATAATTACATTTTACCCTACTTAAAACAACTGTCAAATATGGTCAGTGAATCACTGGTTTCATGACACTTTGTATTTATATTCTTTTCTTGTGTTGTATCATTCTACATTATTCCAGTTTGTTTCTCTAGATTGTAAACCCCAAAGGGCAGAGAAATTTTCACTTGTATGGCACGGCTCTTCTCCTGGAAAATGACAGACACACTTGTGATGATATAATCAAAGGGTAAATACACAATCAAGAAACAAAACTGTAAATAATTTTAAAAGTTAACAGTTATCATTTTCATAGACTACCCCTGTGACAGTTATCGCTATTTCCTTCAATAGCCTGGAAAAAAATATTAAATGAAGTTGTACTTCCTTAAATGGCATTTAAGTATTTTAAGAGTTATTGTTTTAAAAATGCAAATGTTTGTGCATTATTGGGTGATAGCATGGAACGGCTTAATGCAGAAGACAGGATTAATGCAATCCCTGAGAAGTACAGTGAGCTTCAAAAGACTGTTGAACAATGTAGCAGGCACAAATAATCTTTTGGGAAGTGGAATTCCTAGGATGTACCTTGGAGGAGGGTATTGCAAACTGCCACCTAAGGATTCAGCCTTTGAAGCTTCATCCTTTGTCTGCTACCACCTGTTACAAGAGGACAAAACTTTCAAAGACAAATTATATAAAAAAGTAACTGACTTACTGTTGAGTGTGTTTTTTTCTGAGCAAAAGCAGTCATGAATCCTGGTAATCACAGGAAAACCCCTGGGTGGGATTTGAAGGACTGTGTGCCATCTAGAGCCCTTATTGGAATCAGGGGGTGATCTCTGGAAAGCTTATTAACATGCATGCACCTTCTTTTATTACTTTTTAGTATGTTTTCTCTGTAATGCTTTTACTTTTAAGAATAAATGTGCTTGCTTACAGAGAGCTGTGTAGTAGCCTAACTGTGGCAGTTACCCGGTGTACTGTCTCTGAGGAGAAAAGTAAAGGAGGCTGTCTTAGCAGCCTGACTTCTTTGGGGAGGACACAGTATAGACAGGAAGCTGTGCAGTATGGAAATATCCTGATCAAGAGGGACAGAGACATGGGTCTCTGTCCAAGAGAGGTGATGGCTGAGGAGCTGAGAGCCAAGCCTGGATGTTGTAGTATCATTAAACAAATTAAATTTGATTCTAGGAATCCTCATTACTATTGCGAAGACATTGTAGTTGCTATATTAGTTATTTTAATCAAACTCCAGTCCCATCCCTCAAAAAATAAATGTTTTTTTGTTCTGGAAGATGCTGCTGCTTCTGTTCCTCTTTCCTACAGCAGTATTTCACATTCAAGACAATAATGCTTTGCACTTCTATAGTGCTGTTCATGTTTAAAACACTTTATGGATACTGTCCTAATGCCATCGATGACAATAGAAAAACTCCCAGTGATCTAAATGAGAAGAGGACTGGGCTGTATCTTATCACAACCCTGAGAATAATATATAAGTAGGTAGGAGTATCATTTTAGAAAGAGAGGGAAAAGAGACACAGGATTCTGCTTCTTCTCTGTTAGATCAGTGTAAATCAGAAACAATATCAATGGACTATACTGGTATAAAATTCTTGCAAGGTGAAATTAGAAACAGGCAAAGAGGGATTTGCCAAAGACAAAGAAGGTGTTTCTAGTATCACTAGGATCAGAACTCCTTATTGACACACTGTTGTTTAACATAGAACCAACCAATTGCTTTTCCACCAGAATGATGGCCTACCTCCATTCTTTGGAGTTTATAGCAAGTAATTGTATCCTTAAAAATTACTAAAAGTGTTGAAGTAATAAAGTGTCAGGGTTACAGGGCTAGCTGCACTTCTGACCCTTTCCTGGTCTCTGAGTGCACCCCCCTACATGTCAGGACTCATGCCTCTGCCTATCCTATGGTAGAATTCGACAATTACCCCACTCTTAGAGGGGCTACAGGAGCCAGTGTATCAACCAGACTTAACCTGCTGGTCTAACTGAGTTTGGACAACATGAAATTCTTCCCTTTGGGAGTCTGTGACCAGTGGTATTCCATGACAAAACACTTTCTTAAAACCAAAGTATTCATTTTAATAGTAGTAACAAAATATTAGAGAGAGGATTTTAAAACAATAAAGATTGTTCACGCATCTATATTACCTAAAAGCTTACCATACCCTGATGTTAACCTAGACATATCTAACTTCTTCAGATATACCAATGAATGCATGTCACATTCTAGTTCCTCCAAACAACTACCTCCCCCTCTTGTGAGGGAGTACCTTCTAATTCTCCCAGAGTACTGTTGTTCTTGTGAGTTTCAAGCTTTGTCCCTTCTGGAGAACACTTGGTTTTGTAGGTTGGCTGTGAAGGAAGTAAAACCTTTGATGCTAACAGTTCAGTTATTAACAATCCCCAATGGTTTGCAGAGAGGTGGCTTATCCTGAGCAACTGTATCTCTTCCTACTTTTTTCCCCTGATACTCCCGCATCCTATTAACTATCCCAACATATTCATACAGTAAATGTCCTAATAACTGGGTCAACATAGAGTTTTAAGACCTTGTTAGAGAACAGCTCCAATCATCACACAGAATTTAGGAAAAGCTAAGAAAAATACATAATTTTATATGGAAAGAGTTTTGTGTGTATAAATGTTATGAATGCTGTTTTATTTTTTACTCAACCCTTTTGCATAAGAACATAGAATAAGTTTCCTACAGCTTTGCTCTCCACGCTCACTCATATGGATACTGGACTGTAATTCAGATTACAATGGGGCATAATACTATAATGAGTTTATGGTCACCAAAAGGTGACGGCAGACTGCAGCTACTCAGATCCTGAAGGCAAGGAAATTGGCCCTAACTGTGCTGAATTACTGAGCACGAGCACCTCGGCAAAGCTACTATCAAGGTAGAAAAAGCAACCCTCTGAAAATACTACTTGGGAACAGAAGGCTCTATAAAGTATATTTTGCTGCTTGTGTCTTTTAAAAGGATTGATTAATAGAGACCAGAGCTCAAGAATAAATGCCGGGAAAAGGTTGACTTGTTTTCCTATTTCTACATGAGGTAATTGTCACAGTAAATAAGTTTCTTTAGCGTCCATGCGGCACCCTTTCTGGGATAAGAAGGGGAAATCTGTTTAGATTTTAACCTTATAGCTACAGAAGATTATGCTGCTTTTTTGTGCTCTTGAAATAGAGAATCCAGTTCTCCTGAATAAATCAGTGTTACCTGAGTCTGTTTATCTGATGCTGAAAACACGGTGCAAAGTAGGGAATAATTGGAATACACTTTTTGTTGACTGTTCAATTTGTAATGGTGAGACAAGGCGGGTGAGGTAATACCTTTTATCTACACAGAGCTGCTTTTCAGGCCTGCTCTGGAGAGCTGTGTGTAGCTTGAAAGCTTGTCTCTTTCACCAACAGAAGTTAGTCCAATAAAAGATATTATCTCACCCATCTTGTCTCTCCATTATCTTGGGACCAACACGGCTACAACACTGCAAACAATCTGTAATGGTGTCCATTGCCGGGGATGTGCCTTATGCACATTAAAAACAATGAACATATAAATTATAGAAGATTTGTAGTAATTTTAAAGACAAAAACTACGATCTGTTGATCAAATGACTCAGTGATTGGCTACATGTCTGTAAACAATAGGGTTTAAATAGACTTGCTATGCTGACTTGGGCAAACCTCAGAGCAGGCAACATGCTGAGGGATGTGCTGGCCGCTGCTTCCCGCAGCCCCCATTGTCCTGGAGCGGTGAACCGCGGCCAGTGGGAGCCGCGATCGGCCGAACCTGCGGATGCGGCAGGTAAACAAACTGGCCCGGCCCCCCTTCCTTACCCTGGCGGGCCACGGGCTAGAGGTTGCCAATCCCTGCCTGAGAGTCATGAATGTGCTCAGTACTATAGCGCAAAGGGAAAAGACACAGTACTTGTTCCATGGAGGCTGTAATTTACACTGACCTGAAAAATACAAACTATGGGGGCCAACTCTAGCTCTCACTGAACTCAATGTGAAGTGAATAGAGACTTAAAGTGGTAAAAGGCAGACTCAGAGCTGTAATCCAGTCATTTTAATTTTTTCCTACATCTTATATGTTGATCAGAAGCTAGACTGCTTCCAGCCCCTTATCAGAAACTGGGAAATAACAAAAACTTGGTTGCTCGTTTAAGACTGAGGGATTTATTTGGGCATAAGCTTACATGGGTAAAAAAACCCACTTCTTCTCCATCCCTCTGAAGAAGTGGGTTTTTTACTCATGAAAGCTTATGCCCAAATAAATCCCTCAGTCTTTAAGGTGCCACCAGACTCCTTGTTGATTTTGTGGATACAGAATAGCATGGCTACCCCTCTGATACTTGGGAAATAATAGATATTGCAATATAAATGTTCAACAAAAGGCACAGATAGATCTGATTGCCATCCACATATAGATGGTGCTGTAGGCCAAAATGTCTCACTGTCTCCCCTAGCAACACAGGCAAGAAAGGACAAATTTAGATAGTACTCTGTGTGCAAGAGCACTTGGGAAGGAAGAGCAAATTCTTTTTTCAAGCATATGGGTATTATTGAATAATACAAACAGCCCAAGAGTAAAAATTGGATGCTTAACGGATGGATATTTTTGGGGTTAAAGACAATGGAGTGGGAATTAGGAGATATGGGTTTATTTCCCAGTTCTGACACAGCCTTTATGGTTGATTTTTGTTTGTAACCTGTCCTTTAAATCGGCTTCTGTACCCAGTGACTAGAAGTTAGCTAATGTAACACCAATATTTAAAAAGGGCTCTAGAGGTGATCCCGGCAATTACAGACTGGTAAATCTAACATCGGTACTGGGCAAATTAGTTGAAACAATAGTTAAGAATAAAATTGTCAGACACATAGAAAAACATAAACTGTTGAGCAATAGTCAACATGGTTTCTGTAAAGGGAAATCGTGTCTTACTAATCTATTAGAGTTCTCTGAAGGGGTCAACAAACATCTGGACAAGGGGGAGATCCAGTGGACATAGTGTACTTAGATTTCCAGAAAGCCTTTGACAAGGTCCCTCACCAAAGGCTCTTAAGTAAATTAAGCTGTCATGGGATAAAAAGGAAGGTCCTTTCATGGATTCAGAACTGGTTAAAAGACCTGGGACAAAGGGTAGGAATTAATGGTAAATTCTCAGAATGGAGAGGGGTAAGTAGTGGTGTTCCCCAAGGGTCAGTCCTTGG